TGAATGAAATAACCCAGTAAGTGACTTGATGTCGCAAGAACCATGACCCCATTTATAGGTTAAGCTACAAGGAATCGGTTACCTGAACCCTCCCTATATCCATAACCGAGTTGAGAAAGCGAGGCCAGGTAAATGTAGACAATGAAACGGGGCTAAGATAAAAAAAATCAAATACATAAAAAACGAGATTTATCCAACCTGCTTCAGGCCTAAAAGGCAGTTTCGCTTTAGGACGCGTTCTCTAAATTCGTCGGCGACTCTACTACGGGCCTCATTTTGATTTCTTGTTTCGAGGAGCCAACGTGAAAATGCCCGCCTGTGGAAAGCAAACAGGGTGTTTAGTGATAGATTGAGTAAAGGGAGGAAAAAACGGCAGAAAAGTATGGTAACTTGTACCTTCTCGCAATGCTCTAAGCGGCCAGAACACAATCTTTATATGTGTGTATGAAAGTAACCAAAAATGGCGCCAAAGTCGCTCAGTCGGATTTTATTCAGTCCTACATGGAGGAATTGTCAAGTAGCATGTTGGAACGATGTTAATCTGATTGAAAGCCAGTGGCGTATGAGCCAAGGAAAACAATGTTCGACGCCAAGACTGTGATTTTTAATGCACGTTTGGAGACATTTTACACTCGGTTCATTGTGGAGGGTCGGACTAGGCTGGTTGAAGCGAAGCTTTGTGCAAATTTTTTGCGCCACTTCGTCCAACACTTGTGGAAATAAAATAACCAAGTCAAATTTCATCCAAGTGCCTTAGAAGTCTTGCATTTTTGAAATATCTTATCGTTCCAGCCGCCAGAAAGAAATGAAATCACGTCAGGACTGGTAGTGTGGATTTCGATTAAGTAAAGATTTAACATTTCAAAAGGTTCCTGAATTTATAACCTCCAAAAAATCCAAGAGACAGCGTAAGTAAGTAGGCAGCAATCTCTAACTGGAAACTGTATTCTGTGAATTGACAAGATAGCGAATTGCAAGCAAGTAAGTACGTATTATTCTGAGGCATCAAAGTTTTTAAATATAATGGACTAAAGTCTCAACTATGCCTTGGCCTCATAAGCAACCACAGCGGGACTGGAACCGTGGCCGTGCAGGTTAAGTAAAAACGTTATCCGCTAAGCTACGTGATCTTAACAACATTGTGCTAGCCAAAGAGCATTATTTCAGCCAAAGCATGCTCTAAAAGTATTAAAAATAAATCCCTAACGTATTAAGGTTAATGATGAAAACATGGCTCCCTATCAAAACCAAATTGTCCACAAAATAATTTAAATTAAGAAGGGTTTATTTGGTCTTGACATCAATGCCTTGATGCCAGTCTGGGAGAGAATAGCCTTTTGGGATTCATGGCACGGCAAAATGCAACAAAAAATCAAACATTAAATTGCTATCCGTCCGGTAGAAAATGATTTACCCCGGCAACAATCAACACCCTGATAAAAAAAATGTCTATTCATACAAAAATAAATGTGGTTTATAAGTAAGTACAATATGAAGGCTACCTTTGAAGATGAAACCTGAAACTTTGCACCGATCTTTCCTCCTGGTCACGACAATGAGTAATCAATCGCAGCCATGGAAGCCAGCCGTAATGCAGAAGCAGGAGCCGTTGACGACCTTGGTCAGCTCTGGCCACAAGAGCTCGATACTCGGCCAATCTTCGTTCCTTTTCTGCTCGTTTCTGCGAAATACGGCAAAAAATATATCGACACAAAAAGCCGAAATAAGGTTGCCAAGGCTTTCGGGAAAAAAAACTAGGTACAGCGCAAAGCCAACTATAGCTTCAGATGAAAATGTGTCTACATTTTGATATCACTCAAATGCAATAGCAGATGCCTCTTGGTCTTCTGTTAGGTGAATTTACTTGGACTTTTAGGCAGTCGCAGTCCTCGATTTCGATTAAAAGAAGCTGAGCTTCAGTCTCTCGCATCCTCAAAAAGCAAAAGCGAATCGCTTTCGGGAGAGAATAATCCACGAATATATTCACCAAACCCCTGACGCGCATAAGGAATATCAGCTCAATAATCGTGTATCAGGTTATTTGTCAAAATTCCGATTCTCCACGTTCATACAAAAGACAACAAATGGGAATAAAGAAAAAGTGAATTACTTACCAACCCCAGACTACAATTGCCGTTTAGTAGGGGATGCGCATACATTCGGAATAAAAATGACTCTTCTACATTCATTTGAGTGTACCTTTCTTTGAATGGCCGAGTTCACGCTTGTACACTCAAGTGACATGCTTCAATACATGCTAGGGTTGCCCTTAATTTTTGTGGACAATTGAGGAAAGGGGATTAATGGGTTGGTCTCACTGTAGCACAAAGGGTATTGGCATATCTTTTACTTCGTTTGAAGAGACGAGTGGAAGACATTTGTAACTTGGCTTCGCCTGAAGCCTAAGAAAGATTGACTTAGGGCTTTAACTGTAGCTATGTGCGAATAGGTCCCGTGACTCTGATGAATCCGTGTTGAGCGTTGGTCCGTCCGGTGACGGATATCGACAGACTAGGACATTGTGCGTTGCGATAATTCAACAAAATAAGAAAGCAAGAAAGTTGATCGACTGCAATCCTACCTACTTCTTGTAGCTTAAATTTGCCCACTGAATGAGATATCTCATCATTTGATTGAATATCTTATGCCGTTCCTACATGCTTGGTGAAGAGTGAAGTGCCCGTGGATGACATGTGAAATGGATCCACAATCAGATTTGTTTTATGCGTGATCTGCAGCCACTTCACTTTTCAACAAGCATGTATGGAGACCGTAGGATGTCCAGCCAAATCATAGGATAGATGAGATATGTCAGCTTATTTCGTTTAAGGTGATGCAGGACTGGCAGTTGAAGTTTCCCACAATGACATGGATTACTGGTAATCTCGAAATCCTACTTAAAACAAAGTGTGCGATGTCTGAATAAGTGGAAAAATTTAGGCTACAAGAAGTGGGTAGATTTGCAGCTGGCCATCTTTCTTGTTCTCGACTTTTAGTGAATTGTTGTCGAGCTTGGCGTCCTGAATTAACGATGTCCGTCACACGACGGACGAAAGCTCAGCAAGGATACATCGGGGCGAGGACTCATTCGCAAAAACCTACAACCACAGATCCAAGCCAACACCCCTTCGGCTTCCGGTGAGGCCAACTTACGAATCCGTTTCACTCGTCTCTGAAAAGAAAATTAAAGATGTCATCATCAATGCATTCAGACATTCTCCAGAAATCACCTCTTCTTCACATAAATAAAGGCTGTTTCATGGATATGAGAGAAAATTAAATTCTGTAAAAAAAAAATTGTAGCGTAATTTTCATGCCGTTTAGAAAGGCCTCACCGGACGCCGAGGGAGGATTGCCTCAGATTTGCGACTCCGATGAAGCCGTACCTAACTTTCGTCCGACTTCCCGTGACAGAACTCGTCATAGCTGGAAAAGGTTCACCAAAATGGCTAAAGTAATAATATTCGCGTGCCCAACTTCGTGATATTAATGAGGCATCACATAATTTTATAGTGTTGATTCGACCTTGTGTACGCAACTTGGTCGGAGCGTCAGGGAGACCTTGTGGAACGTACTTAGTCCAGGTTTATCATCTGCCGTATTATTCGTGATTTCCAGCATGTAATCATTGCCTGATCGCATTTCCTGCTTAAAGACGAGTGCAATTTACGCAAGAAATCCAATAACCATGGGTAGTGTTTGCTTAACTCCTTATTTATAATGTCGTTTGTCTTGTTATTTTAATCGAATCCCCACACAATCTACCGACTAGTCGAAAGGAGAAAAAAGGTTGGCTAACCTATAGCTTGGTTTTGACTAGAACATTTCAACTGATATGGTACATGTGTTACAGGCAAGAACACAGTGCACATGTAGCAACAAATCTAAAACAAACATCAGCACTGCAGAATCATATGCCAGTGTATCTACGTAAAGAAACAACTGCGACCACATTTGCCCCCTTTTCGTGCATCCACTACATCGACCCGCAAGCGTGTAGGGTAGACATGAAGTAGCCAACCCAATTATGAGAAGCCTCGTTAATATCACAAAGTTTAGTATAGTAAGTAAATAGCATTACAGCCGGCCATCCATGCTGATTTTGGGTTTTGGGTTGACTTTTGTCAGCTCTGACAATGTCTGTCTGGTGTGGCTAATTTAAGAATCCCTTTCACCGGCTTGTTCAAACGAGGCTATCAGTAGATCTAACATAAGAGCTATATTTAGGCTACTTCGTTTAAGGTAGTGATGGAGGCAAGGTTATGTGAAATCAACTGGAAACCTAAGGTATGAAGACCAAGATGGTGTGGCCTCTTGTGTGGTCGAGGTATCCTTTCGTTATATAGA